CAAGCGGACACTGATTTGGGGTTTTAACAGCTGCATGGTGTACAGAGGGTGAGGCCTTGGACCCAAACAAGGCATGAACTGGAAGTTAGAGCTAGAAAAAACAGTGAAGTGCAGGACAGCAGTCTTTGGTCCCTTATTCCCTCCACCCGCCTCAAGTATGACTTCCCCTTCTCTTCTACAAGACCTTCCGAGACACTCCACTCCAGAGTTATTTACTCTCTTAGGTTCCTAAACTTGGTGTTGCTTTACATGACCACCAATTATTTTCTATTAAAATTAATAATGAGTAAATATTCCTCACAATTTTATATTAAAATTAAAGTTAATTTGTCTATAAATTAACAATAAATTAAGTTATTATAAACAATAAATTATTAACTGATTAGGCTATGATTGTAGCCCCTATCACCAACAACCATCCATTCTTGCCCAGGAAATTGAAGCATTATAAGTAGAAATGGAGGGAATGAGACGAATGAAGCAGAAGGAATTAAACAGAGGGGCTAAAGGATTAATAGAGAAAAAAAATATGTGTGTTCTTCTCCATCAGGCATTATTTTCTAGACTCCTAACTGCTAGTTTTTTGTCTGTGTTGAATGGCAGACACACCATTTACCCAGCTGTACAACTCAGAAAGTTAGAAAGTGTCCTTTCCTTTTTCCCCAGTATCTAACCTATATCCAAGTGCTGTCTACTTCACCTCCTAAATCTCTCTCAAATCTATCCTTCTCTCCATATCCATTGCCATCACCTCATACCTGGGTTTCTTAACTTAGGCACTACTGACATTTTTGGCTACATAATTCTTTGTTGCAGGGGTTACATTATAGGATACTTTGGCTATATTCCTGGCCTTTACCTACTAGATGCCAGTAGCAGCCCTCTCCCACCAGGTGAGAGAACCAAAAATGTCTCAGGTGTTACCAAATATTCCCTGGTGAGCAAAAGAGGCCCCTCGTTGAGAATCACTGCCTTATACCCTTATACCAAAGTATATTCACTTCTTGTCTAGTGTGCTACAACAGCTTCCTAATATGTCTCCCTGCATGTACCATATTACTATACCCCATCTAGTAACCTATTCTCCAAACTACAGCCAGAAGGGTATTTCCAACTCAGATCACGTCAGTCCCTGCTTAAGATAAGCTTCAATGGCTTAGCGTTTCTCTTAGAATAAAATCCAAAATCCTTATTATTGCTACAAGGTGTAGCTCTTACCTCTACAGATTCAACTTGTACTTTACTGCATCCTTCTCCCCCTCACTCTCCACTTTAGCCCCACTGGCTACCTCAAATGGGTCATTCTATCTCCAGCCACTCGGCTTTGCCTCAACCCTCTGCCAGCTCTTGTAGCAGTCTAAGAAGTTGCTTCTATTTTAAAAGATGGATGGATGGATGGATAGATAGATAGATAGATAGATAGATAGATAGATAGATAGATAGATCTGGGGCTGGGCGCGGTAGCTCACACTGTAATCCCAGCACTTTGGGAGGCCAAGGCAGGTGTATTACCTGAGGTCAGGAGTTCAAGACCAGCCTGGCCAACATGGTGAAACACTGTCTCTACTAAAAATACAAAAAATTAGCTGGACAAGGTGGCAGGTGCCTGTAATCCCAGCTACTTGGGAGACTGAGGCAGGAGAACCGCTTGAACCCAGGAAGCAGAGGTTGCAGTGAACCGAGATCACACCACTGCACCCCAGTCTGGGCAACAGAGCGAGGCTCTGTCTCAAAAAAAAAAAAAAAAAAAAAGTTGAATGCATTTTGATGGCTGGAAAAGAGGACACTCTTCTTTTTTTTCTTCTCCCCCTCCCCACCTTTTTCTAATGTAGTACTTTGAGTTGCTATTTTAATAAAAGGACATTCTTTCTCTGGGACAGGATAGACAGAGATCAGTGATGACCATAAGGCAAAAAGATCGAAAACAATGCATAAAAAGAGTCACAAAACCTAAGTTCTAGTCTTTGTTCTGTCATTCACTATCCATGTGATTTGTTTTTAATTTACATATAATATGTAACTTTTTTTGGCCTACAGTTCTATGTTTTTAGCACATGTAACCACCACTATAATCAGGATGCAGCAGTTGCATCCTGAAGCTGCCCTTTTGTAGTCAAACACCTCCTCACCCCGGACCTTGGCAATCACTGCTCCATTCTTCGTCTTATAGTTTTACCTTTTCCTGATATGCTTAGTCTCTCTGAGTCTTTTTCTCCATGAATAAAATTACATACACACACACGCACACATACACATATACGTCATCTTCATTACATTAAAATATTAAGTTATTTATGATGATTGTCTGCTGTGGCTAAAAAACCTGGTCTATGACAAGCATCCCATTCCTTCCACAGTTTATATTTAGAAAAGGCTTTCTCTAAGTTTGTCCAGTTTTTGCAATTCTGCATCTTGAACTTTCAGTCTTCTCCAGAAGGGTGGCTCCAGCTCAGATTTCTGCAAGTTACCCCGATACACCGGTAGCTTTGTTCACTCCTACAAAGCTAGGAGCTGCAAAATATTCCTTTACCCCTCCTGGTGGCTGTCCTTTCTCAGTTAGTTAACCACACTGCCACAGTCTAAGCAGCCTAATTATCCTTTCAGCAGTCTTTGCTACAGGGCTTCCAAAATTGTTCTAGCTCTTCGCTATTTATGAGCATAGCTTGTCACTGAATGTCTAAAGGTAATACTGATGCCACTGTCAAATCAACATGTCAGCTGTCGTAGAGACAAGCTTCACTTCCACCTAGATAGAAGATCTAATATTAAAAAGCTCACTCCCTTGGCTCATAGGGTTGCTAACACTAGTTAATCACAAGAATGCTGTATATAACATTACATGGATTTTAATAAGTACATCTGCAAAATCACTCATAATTCTTTTGTAGTACAATGGATGAGGTATAACTACAATTGTTTGAATAACTGGATCCAAAAAGTGGTGATTAGTTAATTGATGTCTTCCTAAGACAAGGCCTCCAGTGGTATGCAACAAGTAACTTAATTTAGTCCTATCTGATTTATACATTTTAATTAAGGAATGGCTAAAGATATAGAAATATGATTATCAAATGTATAAATGTCATAGTAGGGATAGCCAAAAAAAAATTATGTTAGAATCATACTTCAAAAATACTTCAAACATACTCCATTTGCAAAACAAAAATAAATACAAACAAAAAAACAAAAATAAAAAATACTTCAATAAAAATCAATAAAATGGAACAACATAGACTAATAAGTTGAAATGTGATATGAAGAAAAAGAAATTCACTACACAAACATAGAATGAGAGAGACCTAGTTTCACAGCAGGCTACATAGTAAGATCTTGGTCTGTTAGCAATTTTAAATTCAATATATGCCATCAATGTGGCACAGCTTACTTTAAAAAAAAAGTTCCCACTATGACATTCCTCTTTTCAGACTCACTAATGAATTCCATGTTACTAATTGCAATGGTTAATTCTCAACCTCATTTCAGCTTGTAGCAGCATTTAACAGAAGTATTCATCAACCCTTTTGTTACTACTTTTCTTTTCCTCGCTTGACACTCTCCTGGTTCTCCTCCTACCTCACCAGCTGCTCTTTCCTGCCTCCTTTAAGACTGATGACTTCCAAATGTACATCTCTAGCCCAGACTTTTCCAATGAAGTCCAAACTCTGATATGCATCCCCCTTGTCACCACAGAAACCCCTACCTCCACCTCCCTACCCAAATCTGCTTTTTCTGTAGTCTTCCCCATCTCAGTAAACAGCAACTTCATCCTTCCAATTGCTCAGGCCAAAACCTTTGAGTTATTCTTGATCCCTCTCTCTTTTGTCATACCCTAGATCCATCCCATCAGTAAATCCTGCTGACTCTGCCTATACAGTATATCCAGAACCTACCCTCTTCTCATCACTTTACTTCTCCATTACCTCCCCTTGGGATTGTTGCCGTAGTCTCCTAAATGGTCTCCTTACTTCTAACTCTGAAACCCCATACCCACACTCTATTCTCAATACTGCAGCCAGAGAGATCTTTTTAAAACATGCAATCATCCAGTGTTCATTCTAAGACTATTTACTGAGAACCATCTATGTGTAAGACACTGTTATAGGTGCTGAGAACACATTTGAGAACAGAAGAGATAAAAATCACTGCCCTCATGAAGCTTTTGTATCCTGGAAGGGAACAGATAATAAACTATAAATATAATAAATAAGTAAATTATATGGTAGATCCATAGTGCTATGGGTAAAAAAGAGAGCAGGGTAAAGGGAAGTAATACCAAGAAGAAAGGGATGTGTTGCAGGTTCAGGGAAACAAGTCTAGGCTTCACTGGCAATGTAACTTCTGAGCAAAGACAAAGGAGGTGAGGGCTTAGCCATGCAGGTATCTGGAGAAACAGCACTCCAGGCAGAAAGATGTTCCCATTAAGTCTCTCAGGAAATATTTGTGGTTTCTTAGACCTTTAACTGAGCACATGATGGGCTGAAAGATGCAAGATTTTAAACTTGTTTTTAATCTAAATATTACTTGTATTTTAATTTGTAAGTACTTTCTTAATAAGCCACAAGTGCTTTTTTAGAAATGATAATTTAAGTGAAGTATTAGCAACTATTCATGCAAGGAAGTTTTCGTTCTTTTTCTAAAATTTAATTATGAGTTTTGTCTTTCATTTAGTTGAGTTTCTTTCATGGTCCATAAAAAGCAGTCCAAAAGGCCTGCATTTTTTTTATAAGCACATATGACATATCTAATATTTAGGGGGAAAAAACACAAGAAAACAGCAAGTGCACCAAACATGGGAATCAACTGGATTTAGCTTGCTAAGAATATATAACTTTTCAAATACAAATACCAAATGATTTTTCAGATTAAGCCAGTTATAAAACTAGTAATAAGCAAAGTCATCAGATTTACTAACACAATAAATTTAGTACAAAATTATGGATTTTTAAAAGCTTGTTAGTTTCCACCTAATTGGATGAGACTAGCACAATGTTTGTTTTTACCTTCCGGTGGCCTGTTGGATGTTGCCACAACGACGACCCCGTTTTTGAACAGATTTTCAAAAAGCTGTTTCAGAATCATGGCATCAGCAATGTCAGTGACCTATTGACAACAACATATTTGTTTTATTTTAATTTCACTTCTGCTCTAACAAATTTGCTAATGGATCATCTTTTTTTCAAGATGGAAGTAAATTCCAAGAGAAAAATTCTAATTATCATCATGAAGAAAAGAGTAGATAATTAAAATCATGAAACACTGTATATCAGCCTTTTAAACTTGACTCTTCTTTTTTGCAAGCCTATCATTTCTACACAAATTACCAAATGGTTCTATGATAACTTCTTTTATAGAACTACAGGTGGAAAGCATAGATAATTGTCCTAAACATTTAGGAAGTCTAATTAATTAGAACTAACATGACCAACACCCTCCTCCTCTTCCCACCCGTTTCCCACCTCCCCCAAAAAAAGAGAGATGAAAAAATAATAATAAAATACACAGGCTGTTTGAGATTTCTAATACCTTTCTGGCAAAGGTCCCTGGAAAGGTGACTTTAAATGGTCATGGGACTTTAGAAATAAGGACAAGTAGCCAGTGAGACATAATCAGCTGCTGTTGAAAATAGAATGATATGACATAGATACTATTGTGCAATTGTTGCACAAAACAATTCAACAGATGGCCCATCACAAAAATAAGCAATTTCATTGTTCTTTTTAAGTGCCTTCTATTACTGTCCATGAATAATCAAAAGGCACTGCAGTCACTTCCAGCACAGCCAGCCTCTGCTAACCTTCACAAACACAAATATTCCTTCTACCAAAAAAAAAAAAAAAAAAAAAAAAAAAAAAAAAAAAAAACCTTTCAAGAATGGCTAATATAGTCCCTTAAAAAAATAACTTGTGACAATACTGGAAATGCATAATACAGATAAAACTATTCCATCCAAGTTAGGTTACAGAGAAATATAATTATTGGTCTTTTCTAAAATTGTTTTTTAAATTCACCATTACAAAGTAAGCTTAATGATGTAACTTTTTCTAAAGGCTTTTAAAATTCACAAAGAAAGACAACAATTAAGGAGGGAAAGAAGATGACTCCAAAAATAAATTTGTAATGAAGATTGACATCAATCATTGTAAGTACATAATAACATGGGCTTTAGATACTCCCAGTGTAAAAATGTCTTGATCTTTCTTTGATAGCACATTTCAAATAATCTCAGTACAACTTGCTTTACATATATCCACAAGATATAGTACATTGTTATTTTTAAACCCCATTAGAGGACATAAAAATTGGTGAATTCTTTCAATTAAATCAAAATCCTAAAAGTTACAAACTGAATGGTTATAATGCAATTAACAATAACCTGGGTTGCACAAGTCTAAATCACTTTTCTTTTTACAGCTAATATCTTACTCAAAGGTTTAATTATTTCTTTCCCACCTGAAAACAAAACCATGAAATAGGGATGTATTTTTTTATTTTTTATTATTTATTTATTTATTTTTGCTGTCTCAGGTTATAACTAAAAAACTGCTAAAGATTCCTTACATTAAAAAGACTTCAGGAATTTCAAAATGGTGATTAAATGAAAAGGAAAGTGGTGCTGATATTATTTAATTTAGAGTTTAGGATCACTGTCAAATTTGGCTTCCGCAAAAACACTGACAGAGAAAGTCCTTTTCAAATGCTTGAACACCAGTGGCATTTCTGATGAGAGGACAGAACGAGCTTGCACATTTTAATAGTAACTGCACTTTTAAATTACATTGCCAATACACTGACTTTTTAAAAGAACAATATCAATGAAAGGTTGCCCGATTTTAGAGAATAAAAATGGTCATTTGACTATATCATTAATGTCTTTGAAAAAAATGTAAAATAGCTTTTGTGCCCTAAGGTTTAGAAAACTGAAGGGACATTTAGCTTATGACACAATGCAAAGGTTTAAACTGAAAGTTGAAGAAAGCCAACAGTAAAGGCCTGTGGTTGAGTTATAATTTGCTGTTTTTATATTTCAGAATGTTTTTGCCCTATCAGAGCAAATTAGCTTGGAGAAGCTATGACTAATTAATAAAGCAGGAGTCACTTGGTGTAGCTGGGTGCCAGTGTATACTCTTTTGATCTTGTCCCCGCACTTGTTCAGCCTTGCCGGGGAACAGTAATTTTACAGTATAAGTGAACAGAAGACAATTGGCCACACATTCTTGGAGAGCTGGCTTTTTCAGTACCCAGCATTTCATTACCACCACGAACAAAAGAGAAGGCTACAGATTACCAATAAGGGTAGTCTGCTAATACAGAGAGTGGAGACATTTCATTAGCATTAAAGAGAAAAGATTTTTTTATAACCTAGAGTTGCTTTCCATTATGACTCACTTAAGTAAAAAAGGAAAAAAAAAAAAATCTAATGGTGAATTTACATGTGTGAGTGCTTGAGTCTCAGTCATCCACTGATTGGTACGGTGCCATATAATGAGTGACAAACATAAGCATGCATTATCAGTAATTAGGATTAGCACAAAAATAAGCACCTAGTTTTTATTAGCAGTTTTTAATAGCTTTCTTCCTGCTTCATAAAAATGGTTAAAACTATTTTTTAAATGATATTGATAGCTTATAGAGGAGAATTTTGCATGATCTTCTGCTCATCAGAATCCTTTTTTTTTTTTTTTTTTTCTGGACCGGTATTAGTAAAACATCTATTCAGTGTCCCTCTCAGAAGAGATATGAAGAAATAACATTTTAAAAAATCAGTTTTCCTCACTAATCTGATGTCTTCAGAACATAAACAGTTTAACATGTAACATAAATATTCCAAGAGGACATAATGAAGATCCTAAGGAAAACTCTGAAAATAAGGTATTATTTATTTCACCAACCAAAACACATTAAAAAAAAAACAACCTATCCAAACACATTTCTCAACCAAGATGAGAATCGAGTATCTAACACCTCACGTAAAACTGAAATGCAACTATTTGAACGTACAGGGTGGGAAGAGGGGGAAGAGCAGAAAAAAGAACTATTGGCTACTAGGTTTAATACCTAGGTGATGAAATAATCAGTACAGCAAACTCTTGTGACACATGTTTACCTATATAACAAACCTGCACACATACCCCTGAACCTAAAATAAAAGTTTAAAAAAGCTGAAATGCTATACTTAGTAAGGAAGACCAAGCTAATGAAGAGCATTCTGCAAGTGTAATCTGAATGCTTACCAAAACATAATCTTTAAAATTCCTTAAATTCAAGAGCACAAAAAAGGAGTATATCCATGTTTTTAAGCAGCAATAATTACCATTCATCTCCCTAGTAAAATAAATATTATATTAATTAACACCACCTAAAGGCCAATAATAACTAGCTAAAAATCAAGGCTACTAATACGATTCCATTTTAAAAGTGAAGTGGTGATTGTAGATATACTGTCGCTAAGAATAAAGTGCCTCAAAAATTCTTTCCTAATAAATCAGCAAGTATTATACTAGGCTTAATAGGCTTAAGGATAATTTTTAGGCGCCACCACTAAAACATCTACCAAAACCCCACCCAGCTCTAGAACTATATATTTAAACACATAATACAAGACTCTTCATATACCAAGGAAAAAGTATAGCATAGCTGTTACTGGTAAACAAGAGCATTAGTGCTGGACTTAAACTGTTAGTTACCAGCTGTGTGACCTTGGTCAAGTTACTGAACCTCTCTGACTCTCAATTTCCTCATCAATGCAACAAAAGCAGTAATAATACCTACCTTGCAATATTGTTATGAGACATAAACTCTCAAGAAATGAGAGATTATGAACTTTGACTATTACCTATGTATGATATATATTCTAGTATTAATATAATTCTGTATTATTAATGTACAGCTACATAGAATTTTAGCTGTAGCTAGAATTATATTTAGCATTATACAGTTATTAAGAACACAGGCACATAGAAAAACACTCAATAAACAGTAACTAATACTATAGAGCATATATAATAGATGGAATATAAGCATTCCAGTAAATACATGGGCAATACCTCAAATAGTTCATAAAAGATGGATTTAACTAGCATGTAAACAAACATGAAAAAAAATCAGCCATATTATTCTGTAAATGCTGATTTTGGGTTCTGTAAATGCTGATTTTGCTTGAGAAATGCTATTACGTGGAAGGGGAGTGGGACTTAATATGAACCACTTCCATAGTTTTCATTTGGTATTAGATTCATTCATTCATTTATTTATTCACTACTTATTCATTCATTCTCAGACACTGTTCTAGAAACCTGAGATGCATCAATTAATAAAGATTCATGCCTTCAAGTTTACATTCTGGGAATATAGATAAACAATAAACATAATAAATAAGTAAATTACATGTAATATGTTAAAAGGTGATATATGATATGAGAAAAAAGGTGGGTAAGGGGCATCAGAAGCGTGGAGGTCAATGGTAAGCTGCAATTTCAAATAGGGTATTAAAATGGGCCTTGTTAAGGATGTAATTGAGCAAAGACATGATGAAATGAGGGAGTTGCTGTTAGGAATATGTAAGGGTGTGAGGGAAACCCCACAGCACCAGTTGCTGCCTAGGCATTAAAAGTAGAACCCAATGGCTTAAGCCTGTGGCCAGAGATAAGAGCTTAGAGGCATAGCTCTTGCTTACAAGATGGGGCTCCTCACTTTTCCTGTTGCTTCCTTTACTTTAAACGAACCATTCAGGCTCTTGCTCACAAGCATAGTTAGCCACATCCTATTCCTACGTATATATAAAATACACATATACATGCATGCTGCTAGTTGCCATACTCTCTTTCTGACTGACTCTTCATTACTGCCTCCTGTGACCAGGGACGAAGGACTGGCCTTCTGACTCATTGCTCCCTCCCTGCCCAGCATCTGTAATAATCAGTCTTTGAACTTATTTTCTATTGTAGTGGTGTATTGACTTGCACCTTCCCTCTGAAGAACCAGGGTCTGCCCCAGGCCAGGATTTTCCTGGGATGCCAGGAAGAACACAACATCAGGCTCCCAGTGCCAAAGCAATGGTCAGACGGCATAAACTGGACATAAGTCAGACAAGAGCCACAAAGGCATATGCCAGTATAAACAAGCTTCCTGTGTGAGGGACTCCTTGGTCATGGGTCAGACAACCAGGCATCAGGCCGTTCTCCAGGTGAAAGACGTTTCCTGTGAAAGGCAAGCTGTAAACACCTATATCCAGCTCCCTGAATTTCCTGTTAGGGCAAGGTTGCCAGCCGCTCTGGTGCTAGAACCCCAATTTAGCTGGGGGCTCTCAGAACAGAGGGACCACTCTGTGCAGAAAGAATGCCCAGTGCAAAGGCTTTGCTTGTTCATTATAAATTGTGTGGTTGGTGGGGATCAGAGTGCTGGCGCAGCAACATTTTGGAGTATATTTCACCCTCTTGAGTTTTAGGAAAGGGGGATAAGTAGAGATTTGGACTTGTGATCATCTAATTTTGGTGTACTGGAGAAACTTCTTTAAGACCTGAAGAAGACAGTTCAGGATACTGAAACTAGCAGGGATCACTTTTTCCCTTAGGGGGCACACTCTTGCCCTTATATTTTCATTTTCTCTGGCTCTTCTAACACTGGGTATATGCAGATATCGGTCTTTTCTTGAATGCAGCAGTAATCTCCAAGATTCAAGTTGGAATTGTAAAGGAAATAAAAGAGCAAGACTATTAACATTTTGCATTCTAGGACATTCAGGTCAAACTTGCTCAGGGGAATAAGGTCTCCCATACTGTCAACTCTTAACATACAAGAATGCTATATTATGCAATAATTGGGAATGGGGGAAAAAAAAAAAAAAAACATGCTACACTAAAATTTGGGATCAAATGAAAGCAATCAATTTGGTATTGTCTTGTTTTGTCATCTCTGTGCATGTTTTCTTCAGAGCCCTGCGGGAAATAAGTAGTTGACATAATACCCAACTACTAACTGCGGTTCCTTAACCTATAAAGAAAATAGGATTGAATCTATGAAGAAAGTAGGGAGCAATGAGTGAGGCTGAACCTGTAGGAGACAAGGTTAGAGAGGAAGTAGAAGGGTTTGAGCAAGGAAAATGACACTACCTTATATAACAGAGTATTTCCCCATTGGAGTACGAGCCCTTTTAAGTTGGGTTTTCTGTTTCCTGTGGCCAAAAGCATTCCTAGCAGATACCTCATCTTTCTCTTCCTGGGCTTTAGCTCATCAGTTAATTCTCTTTCCACTGGAGGTAACAGATTTCATATTAAGGAAAGTGACATTTCCTCACAGTACTTCTTACCAATGTTTATGTTATCTTTTACAGATCATAGGGAAATACGTCTTCACATAGCAGATAGGAGCAAAATACGACTTGAATAGTTCTATTCTCACCAAGACTGTTTGTAAGAAATAGGCACCAGAGATCGAGCTGAAGAAAAGAGATTTACTTGAAACTCCAGGATAGGGACAATACTGATGGCACCTTATGGGGTTTGGCTTGGAATTGGAGGTTGCTATGGAGAGCTCAGCAGCTGTCTAGGGAGTGCTCTAGTGCTCTTTCCCTTAAAGTGATTCAATTACTTTCTATATTTCTTTGTTTCTGTTTCATTAGTAAGAAGAGCTTCCCTCTGTGCCATTTAGTTCAAATTCATTAGAGAGAGGCTAAGACTGGCCCATTTGCCAAGCCACACCATACAAGTCCAAGGTTGCTGAGAAGATTGTGGATTAACTACTTATAGATCAGCTGTCCAGGCATGGTCCATTTAGCTGTGGGACAGATAGGGCCCTGTCCTGTGATATGGAATAAGGGCCTTTAAGGCAACTGAGATGCATGAGTCAATGAATGAATAAATATCAAAGCAATTTGGACAGGGCAGGCAATAACAGGGATCTCTATAACATCTGCTTTCTCTCCATCAGCAAGCAGCATTTTATAAGAGCCTGTTTCCCCTGGATCTCTCTTATACTCAATATGTAATCTGAAAAATCCTTTCTGTAGCCTGCATTTCTTTGCAAGACTCAGTTCATTTGGAACGATAGTGTCCTGACAGCTGTTTTTGTTTATATCAACCTTTTGAAATCTGAACCCAATGGAGTATGTCAGCACAACCAGGCAGGTTTCTGGTAGGACTTCACTATTAAGGTGGCATTATGACTCCTGTAAGCCCTAGGAACTTTTACTTTCATGAGACCCATCCTCAAATAAAAAAACATTACGACTATGTTGGTATACGGACAAATATAATACAGAATAGACAGATACAGGCTGGAGTCATTACTGTTACATTCATTTATGTCCTCAAATTTTAAAAGAAATTAAGATGTTTTCTTGATCCCTAAAAGTATCACAAGCCCTAGACACTGTGTCTGCTGCACCGACTGGGCAAGTTGCCCTGCTTGCTCTGTATCTTCTTCAGGATCATGTGCTTTGCACAGTCAGATTTTCATAGCATCCTAACCTTCTTAGTCTTGCCTTCCAATAATGCTTATGCCATAAAAACATGCCAATCAAGCCAGGTGTGGTGGCTCACACCTGTAATCCCAGCACTTTGGGAGGCCGAGGCGGGTGGATCACCTGAGGTCAGGAGTTCGTGACCAGCCTGGCCAACATGGTGAAACCCGTCTCTACTAAAAATACACAAAAATTATCTGGGCATGGTGGTGCACACCTGTAATCCCAGCTACTCAGGAGGCTGAGGCAGGAGAATCACTTGACCCAGGAGGCAGAGGTTACAGTGAGCCGAGATCACGCCATTGCACTCCAGTCTAGGCAACAAGAGCAAAACTCCATCTCAAAAAGAAAAAGAAAAAGAAAAAGAAAAAAGCCAATCATTTCTCTGAAAGTTTTGAAATCTACATTTTTAAAGTTAAGGGTAACGATTTTTACATGATACCTAGGAAATTCTAATGCCTTTAGATTTCTCATTTCCATGTGGGATATCAACTATTTTGCAGAATTAAATGAGATAAGGACGTAAAAACACATTGTAAGCTACGGATCATTTTACAAAGGCTAGGTATTAATTCACCTCTTTAAAAATTTAACTTCAATACCTTAATCAAAACTGTAACTATGCCAGTTCAGTTTTATTTAGAGATATTTTGGTTAAAAGGCTAGTAATGGAAAAATCAAGAGAAATGGCCGCTATTGATTCATCACTGACTTTTGTTCTTGAAAGTAGCATAACTGTTAAGTCAGTGCTTTTTCAAACAACTCAATGAGGCCCTTTTCCTGCAAAACATTGATGTGATTAGTATGCCTCTTCAGAAAGGCAGGAGAGCATCTGTTCTTTTCCATAAAGCCTTTCCTTGGAAGACCTTTGCAGTTCTAAATACAAAGGTGAGTCCCGTCTGTCTTAATATGACTGAAGGAAGAAAGAAGAAAAGATCCCTCTTCCCTAGATGGATTAGTATAACAGTATTGCTGGTGAAAATTCTTTCCCTTCCATCATAAATCTCGACTATTGTTAGCTATGCGTACCCGTTCCTAAAGGAGACCAATCATGCATGCTTTGGGATAAAAGCATCTTGGCCATATCATCTCCCCACTAATCCAGATTATAAAACACAGAAGAATAGGAAATAACTCACTACCAATTTAAATGCATAATTTCAGACAATCCTAAAACTAAGAGGAACTTTCAAAGTTCAACTAAGGCTATTCCCTCCCTTTATCACAGATACGTATGTTGTGAGGCTTCAACGAGATGAATCACTTGTTCTTTATATAACATTTTTTAAAAATACTAAAACATCTTTAAAGACATTGTTTTATGATAATTAGATTATCTTTGTGGTGTAGGGGAGATGTACAATCATCGACCAAAATTTAGAGGTGGGCAGACTTTTTCTATAAAAGACTGAATAGTAAATATTTTAGGCTTTGCAAGCCATATAGGGTCTCTGTTGTACTTTCTTCTTTTTCTTCTTCTTCTTCTTCTTTCAACTACCTTTAAAATTACAAAAACTTGGCTGGGTGTCATGGCTTATGACTGTAATTTCAGCACTTTGGGAGGCTGAAGCTGGAGGATCACTTGAGGCCAGGATTTGAAAGCAGCCTGGGAAACATAGTAAGACCTAATCACTACAAAATTGTTTTTAAAAATTTGCTAGGTATGGTGCATGAGCCAATAGTTCCAGCTACTCAGGAAGCTGAGGCAGGAGGCTGAAACCAGGAGTCTGAGGTTATAATGAGCTATGATTATGCCACTGCACTCCAGCCTGGGCCTGAGCAGGACCCTGTCTCTTAAAATATGTGTGTGTGCGTGCGTGTGTGTGTGTGTGTGTATGCACGTATACACTCTTCTTTTCTCACTAACCATAAAAAAACAGGCAGGTCAGATTTGCCCTGTGCAGCTGTGCAAGTTGTGATTTGCCAGCTCCTGAACGAGATAGTAAAACTGAAGCAACTAAAGAGATAATGTGTCAAATCACCTTATAAAACAATGATAAAATCAAGAGCAAAATTTAAATCTTCATACCTCATTCAGTATACCATTCTATATCTGTGAAAAATCTCTACTTTACCTGAAATTCATCAAAACATAGGAGACATGCTTCTTCACTGATTTCTTCAGCTATAGGAGCTATTGGGTCATATGATTTAGCCATGAATCCTGGTTTCCTTTTTGGCAAACTCTGTTTAAGGCGATGTATTCCTTAAATGAATGAAATTAAACACAGATGAAATACATTAGTGTATTTTAGACCATTATAACATTTTAAAAATCTCTAAATGAAACTTTAGTATGGACATAAAATTAAGTTTAAATTTCATGTAAAATCAAATTTGATCACTGAAATTGTTTGCATTTTCTGTACTTCAAAATAAGTTGTTCAAATATTATTGTGTTCTTATAGTTGTAAGGAAACTTCAAGGTCATTCCATTTCTACTCTTCAATCATTTCGGAAATTACAAGGTAATAGACAAGTGACTAGATGCATCAACACATCCACCTTAGTCGTGTATTTCAGGGATGAGAGCAGAGGATATGATCCTGCCTAAGTAGTGCATATTATGTCTAGCATATGCAATTAGAATGTGTCCTTATCTCTAGCCTAATACACTAAGGCCAGTCCACTTCATTCATTATGTGTGTACTAAATGCTGCAAGTATTAGAGGAAAAAAACACATGATTCCTGCTCTGGGGAGGTTACAGTGCAACTAGTAAACAAATCATGCAAAACTGGAATAACATAAGATCACTAGGAAAGCAATAAAGCTTATATGTGTATTCAAACTGAATGCCTACATGCTAAGGTAACACAGAATAAAGGACCTAATCAAGAATCACTTATTTAAACAGGTGCATTTTTAACATTTTTTATTGGCCCTTAGTAGAAACAGAAAATGCCTGAGCGTCATATAGTAATCTCTGTTCTCTGATTTGAAAGTATTAAATTAGTCTTAAGGACCAACTCTGGACACATTACTGACTGTTTCAACATAGCACAAAACAAATGGAACCAAATAAAATCTTACTGCAAGCAAAAATCTAATTTTTTAAAAGCATATATGTTCATTCAATGAAGAAAACCATTCTGTAGTGTTTTCCCACTGAAAAAAACTTTTTTCAGATCATTGCTTACTTTTGTGCACATCTAGCATGAAACCATGAAAATGAACCCGTTTTTTCCTCTTCATTTCCACATAAGCATAAAACATGTCCATCACCATTGTTTTTCCTGTACCTTAAAAACAAAAACAAAAAAAAATAAGAATACTATTAAATAGTATGTACTGATTGCTGTAATGATTGTTCATTAGCTTTGAGATAATGAAACCATACTCTTCCACTGGGAAGCTGAAGACTATGTCACTTCTTTAGAAGGGGGAGCTTACTTTGTATGTTAAACTAGCTAAAAATAAAACGCTGATATTACTCTTTTCTGTTAAAATCCTGTTTATAGGAAATACAACAATTGCTTAACATTACAGGGGCTATTTCCCCCTGAAAACTATGTTCATAAACTGGCAAGATTTACAGTCTTCTCTTCCAAAAGACACTAGCGTAAATAATTAAAAATTTATTGGGTCATTACTATGCATGAGGAACTGTTTTAGGCACTACGGGAAAATTCAAAAATGAAAAATAAGAGAAGAGGCTGCGCATGGTGGCTCATGCCTATAATCCCAGCACTTTGGGAGGCCAAGATGGGAGGATTGTCTGAGCCCAAGGATTCAAGACTGGCCTGGGAAACACAGCAAGACCCCCAACTCAAAAAAAAAAAAAAAAAAAGAAGAAAGAAAAGAGAAGAAAGATGAAATATAAAGATTAGTATCTAGGCCGGGCGCGGTGGCTCAAGCCTGTAATCCCAGCACTTTGGGAGGCCGAGACGGGCGGATCACGAGGTCAGGAGATCGAGACCATCCTGGCTAACACAGCGAAACCCCGTCTCTACTAAAAAATACAAAAAACTAGCCGGGCGAGGTGGCGGGCGCCTGTAGTCCCAGCTACTCGGAAGGCTGAGGCAGGAGAATGGAGTAAATCCGGGAGGCGGAGCTTGCAGTGAGCCGAGATCTGGCCACTGCACTCCAGCCTGGGCCACAGAGCGAGACTCCGCCTCAAAAAAAAAAAAAAAAAAAAAAAGATTAGTATCTAACATAAATATTGAACATGAATCATATATGTAGATTAGAGCTAGAGAATTGCCAATTTTAACACTTCCATTTTTTAAAAGCTGAGAATATAGAGCTCTCAAAATAAAACCTACTTGAGGAAATTCTGATAGTCAATCCATATAATTAAATTATCTACTTTTCAATACTAAAACTTTTAATGACTACAATCGAATTAGTAGAGTAGAATACTCTTATCTGAGAATTCAGTTACTCAAGGCCCACAATCAATCATAGTCTAAAGATTTTAAATGGAAAACTCCAAAAATAAACAATCCTCAAGAATTAAATTATGCAGCTCTCCTGAGTAGCATGAAGAGACCTCATGCCATCCCATTCCATTCCACCCAGGACATAAATCATCCCTTTGTCTGGCATATCCACACTGTATTCACTACCCTCCCGTTGGTCACTTAGTGGCCTTCTCTGTTAAAAACATAGTATATAAGCTGGGCGCAGTGGCTCACGCCTGTAATCCTGGCACTTTGGGAGGCCAAGATGGGCAGATCACATAAGGTCAGGAGTTCGAGACCAGCCTGGCCAACATGGCAAAACCCTGTCTCTACTAAAAGTACGAAAATTAGCCAGGCATGGTGGTGGGCACCTGTAATCCCAGCTACTCAGGAGGCTGAGGCAGGAGAATAGCTTGAACCTGGGAGGTGGAGGTTGCAGTGAGATGGCACCACTGCACTCCAGCCCGGGCGACAAGAGAGAGACTCCATCTTAAAAAAAAACAAAAACATAGGGTTCAGTATTAAGTGAGGTTACAGGCATCCACTGGAACTATCCTCTATGAATAAGGGGAAACTACTGTAATTGAATATCCAACAGCCTGAGAATTTAAGCAGGTAGCATAAAATGTCTTATCCCCTCTCAGAAAGCCTAGGGCATTTGGGTCAGTGGCCCAAGCTCAGTTTGTACCTGGCATTCCTCAGTAAGCCAGACCAGCACGCGCTGGTCCAGTCTCACATCCTCCCTACTTCCTCGTCTCCCACCACCACAAGATTACTTCTTGTCTAGTAATTCCTTTGCAATTAATAGAATCCAAAGGCACTTCAGAAAGTCAGAAGTCTAAATCTTATCTTTTGGGTTTCCTCCATGCCACAAGATGACACTGGGCCCATGCCATTTGAACTGAAAATCCATAGAGGATTTGTATATGAAAAAACAATCCACCAAACATTTTTTTATGAAGAAGTCATTTTGATGGAAGGTCATTCATTGCAAAAATATTCAGTACGGTATCTCTTGATACAGTGATTAGCAGTAAGATTTTAAATAATTATATTTACCCAGAAAAATTAACAAAGTTTCAAATTCTGCTGCATGCAGTGTAGTATACTTATAGATTCAGAATAAAGTCATGAATTATCTAATCAAAAATACATTAATTAATCATTAGGGTAAAGCAAATCAAAACTACAAGATACCACTTTACTTACATTAGAACGACTATTAAAAAAAAAAGAAACAGAAAATAACAAGTGTTAGCAAGGATGTATAAAAATTGGAACCTGTGCATTGCTAGTGAGAATAACAATGGTACTGTCACTGTTGAAAACAGTATGGCAGTTCTTCAAAAAATTAAACACAGGACAAGTGCAGTGGTTCACGCCTATAATTTCAGCACTTTGGGAGGCCTAGGAGGGAGAATTGCTTGAGACTAGGAGTTCAAGAAGACCAGCCTGGGCAACATAGCAAGATCTCATCTCTACTAAAAATTTAAAATATTAGCCAGGTTTGGTGGTGCATGCCTGTAGTCCCAGCTACTCGGGAGGCTGAAATGGGAGGATTGCTTGAGCCCAGGAGTTCAAGGTTACAGTGAGCTATGATCATGCTACTGCACTCCAGCCTGGGCAACAGAGAGAGACTTTGTGTCCAAAAAAATAAATAACTAAACATAATGTGACCATGGGATCCAGCAATTCCACTTCTGAGTATATGCACAAAACAACTGAAAGCAGGGATTCAAACAAATACTTACACCTCAATATTCACAGCAGAATTATTCACAATAGTCAAAAGATGGAACAACCCAAACATCCATTAATAGATGAATGGATAAACAAAAAGTGGTATATACATAAAATGATACAGTTGGCCCTCTGTATCTAGTTTCCACATCCCCGAATTCAACCAACAGTGGATCAAAATTATTTTTAAAATAAAAAATAAGGAACAGGTGGATTGGCTTACGCCTATAATCCCAGCAATTTGGGAGTCCAAGGCAGGCAGATTACTTGAGTCCAGGAGATTGAGACCAGCCTGGGTGACATGGCACAATCCCATCTCTACAAAAAAATATAAAAATTAGCTGGGCATTGTGGTGCATGCCTGTAGTCCCAGCTATTCAAAAAGCTGAGGCAGGATGATCACTTCAGCCCGGAAGGTGGAGGATGCAGTGTGCTGAGATCATGCCACTACACTTCAGGACCTGGGTGACAGAGCGAGACTCTGCTTCAAAATAGTAATAATCAACCTATCATCATAATATAAACAAAAAAACAATACAGTATAACAACTATTATAGCATTTATGTACCACTTACATTGTTATAAGTAATCTAGAGGATTTAAGGTATACAGGACAACACACAAAGTTTATATGCAAATGCTACACCATTTTACATAAGGGACTTGAGCATTCTCAAATTTTGGTATCCAAGGGGATCCTGAAACCAATCCCCCATGAATACCAAGTATATTATTCAGCCTTAAAAAGGAATCCAACTCATATGCAATGTGCAATAATATGGATGAATCTTGAAGATATTTTGCTAAGTAAAATAATCCAGACCCAAAAGGAAAAATATTGTATGATTCCATTTATATAAGGTATTGAAGAATAATCAAATTCATAAAGACAGAAAGTAGAATGGTGGTTGCCAGGCCAGGGGCGTCAGAGGGTGGGATGTGGAAAATGTAGGAGAGAGGAAGAATAGGAAGTTGTTGTTTAATGGACACAGAGTTTCAGTTTGGGAAGATAAAAATGTTCTGAAGATGAATGGTGGTAATAGTTGTACAACAATATAAACAGACTTAATGCTACTGAATCATACACTGAAAATGTTTAAAAGGGTAAATTTTATGTAATGTGTTTTACCATAATAAAAACAATTGAATACATTTTTTAAAACCTAGAGTTAATATGCTTAACGGTAAAAGACTGAACACTTCTCCCCTACAATTTGACAAAGGCAAGGATGTCTACACTCATGTTCTGAAAATGGATGGTGGTAACAGTTGTACAACAATGTGAATAGACTTAATGATACTGCATTATATGCTGGAAATGTTTAAAAGGGAAAATTTTATGTTATGTATTTTACCATAATAAAAACGATTGAATACATTTTTTAAAACATACAGTTAACATGCTTATTTGTAAAAGATTGAACACTTCTCCCCTCCAATTTGACACAGAAAAGGATGTCTACACTCACTACTTCTATTCGACATTGTACTGGGAGTCCTAGCTGGTGCAAGGAGGCAGCAAAAAGAAATAAAATGCATAAAACTTTAAAGAAGTAAAATGGTGTTTATTGGCAGATAACCTAATTGTATATACACACAAAAAAAATCCTAACGAATCTACCAAATCACCACTAGAGTTAATAATTAAATTTAGCAAGATCATAGGATACAAGGTCATCAAAAAATCAACTGCATTTCTATAAACAGTAACGCATATAATGACATTTTGGTCAACAATGGACCACATATCCAATGGTGGTCCCAAAAGATTATGAAGAAGCCGAAAAATTTCTATCACTTAGTGATGTCATAGCTATCCTAACACAGAAGCATAATTAATTTTTTTTAAATAAATTTCGTGTAGCTCAAGTACACAGCACTGATAATATCTTGTATAAAGTAGCATACAGAAATGTCCTCAGCCTTCATATTCATTCACCACTCACTCACTGACTCATTCAGAGCAACTTCCAGGCCATTCATAGTCAAACAGGCATCCCATATTTTATCTATTATACTGTATTATTACTGCACCTTCTCTGTTTAGATATGTGTAAATAAACAAATACCATAGTGTTACAACTGCCTACAGTATTCAATACAGTAATATGCTGTACAGGTTTGTAGCACAGGAGCAATAGGTTCTATAATACAGCTGAGGTGTGTAGTAGGCACATGTATCCCTGCATCCAAGCCAGGGAGAACTATGCTTCCTAACTCCTAACCTTAAAACCAGCCTACCTTTCAACTGGTGAAATTAGAATCTGTGTCGATGTGAAACAGGTGAGGTGAAACCAGGAGGCAGGAGAAAAGGGGCTGATAAGCAAAATGTACTTTTATTCTCTTCTAGTGTACCAGAGAATTCATTAACCCTGCCATCACCACTGCAGTCGGCTGGTCAAGAGCTGAGGCTCTGTTGTGAGAAAGTCAGCTGTTGGGTATGAATGAAGCCACGAAATACTACTACCACAGCTTTTGGCTTCTATATGAGATGTGATAAACATTTTACAACAAAAATAATTCATTTCAAGATTGAACCATGATAATAATCCCTCCAACTCATACATCAACCCTACTGCAGTTCCCAGGATTTAGGTTCCACCTGGGTCAATCCTCTCAACACATCTGTGAAGAAAGAGGTGAAGTGAGCAGGACAAAGCCCAAATAGAGTGCAAGAATGAAAAGTGGGAAGGGAGCGCTACCAGGTAGGTATTCTCTATCCCATGAAGTCTCCTTAAAAATTATTTATTTAAATTTTTCTTTAAAAAAAAAACTTAAGAGATGAGGTCTCACTATGTTGCCCAGGCTGGTCTCGAACTCCTGAGCTCAAGCATGTTTATTTTTATTTCATTTTATTTATTCATGTATTTATTTATTTATTTTGAGACAGTCTTGCTCTATTGCCCAGGCTGGAGTGCAGTGGTGCGATCTCGGCTCACTGTAACCGCTACCTCCCGGGTTCAAGCAATTCTTCTGCCTCAGCCTCCTGAGTAGCTGTTTGACTACAGGCACCCACCACCATGCCAGGCTAATTTTTGTATTTTTAGTAGAGACAGGGTTTCGCCATTTTGGCCAGGCTGATCTGAAACTCCTAACCTCATTGATCCGCCCCGCTCAGCCTCCCAAAGTTGCTGGGATTATAGGCGTGGGCCACTGCACCTAGCCCAATTTATTTATTTATTTATTTTTAAGATAGGGCCTCACTCTGTAGCCCAGGCTGGAGTGCAGTGGTGCAATCTCAACTCACTGCAACCTTGATCTCCCAGGCTCAAGTGATCCTCCCACCGCATCCTACTGAGTAGCTGGAACTACAGGCACACACCACCATGCTCAGCTAATTTTTTAATTTTTTTGTAGAGACGGGGGTCTCACCTTGTTGTCCAGGCTAGTCTCAAACTTCTGGTCTTAAGAAATTATCCTACCTCAGCCTCCCAAAGTGCTGATATTACAGGCATGAGCCACCATGCCCAGCCTTCTTAAAAGTTAGTACCTGTTTCCCAAGTCCAAAAAAGGAAAAGAATAAAGAATAAGAGCTTATGGTGGCATTTTGAGGCTATTTTCCCAGAGAGCCCCCCAAATGAAACCTTTATCTTTTATTATCTATTTTATTTCATTTTTGAGATGGGGGTCTCACTCTGTTGCCCAGACTGGAGTGCAGTGGCATAATCATGGCTCACTGCAGCCTTGACCTCCCAGGCTCAAGTGATCCTTCCACCTCAGCCTCTGGAGTAGTTGGGACTATAGGCACATGCCACCTTGCCAGGCTAATTTTTGTATTTTTTGTGGAGACAGAGTTTTGCCATGTTGCCCAGGCTGGTCTTGAACTCCTGGGCTCAAGCAATCCACCCACCTCGGCCTCCCAAAGTGCTGGGATTACAGGTATGAGCCATCATGCCTGGCAGATTACCTATTTTATAAGTGGCCTGAACTAAACTTATTATAGCCACCAAAATGTTCATCTCACTTCCCATTTCAGAATTCCTTTCTCTTCCCCTCTCTATATTATAAGGATGTTTCCAAACAAAGGTTGCCACACACCCAAACTATATGAACATCCCATACTATCACATCTTTTCTATTGCTTTCAAACACTCAGATGAATAACTTGTAATGTGCTTCCCTTCAGTTAGTTACCATATGGCTGTATTTTCTAAACTAAAATCCAACAACGTTCATAGGGTTTAAAAAAAAGTCCTTTTACAGAAGTGGAAGCAGTTGTGCTTTATCAACCATCTCCATTTATGGTCAGCTGGTTAAGGTAACAGGAGGAACAAAGCTGTTGATTTTAGCAATGACTTAATATGAAAGTGAAGGTACTGGAAGTAAATGTTCTCAGGAGGCAGAGAATGAGCCCTGACAACAGGATGAGAATCTTTAATGGTGCCCAAAGGTGCAGTAACATAAAATTGATCCAGTGTCTATTATAAATTGCTTTCTAAATAAGAAGTAAGTATACATTGGTCTCAAAAGTACCAATTAGCCAATGAACTAAGAAAAAGAATAGTTTGAGCTTCTTTTCTGTAATTTCAAGAACTTAAGGAATTTTAAGGGGCAATCTCTAATGTTCACTTTTGTGAACTAAATTATTCTCTTTTATTAGATTAGCTAAATCTGGAAATATAAAATGGATATTCAATGCAAGGCATCAGTAAACAAATTAGAAAAAGAAAGAACAGTTTAGAAAGGAACAGTTTTATCTTTAAGGCATTAAAACTACTTATTCGGCCAGGCGCCATGGCTCACACCTGTAATCCCAGCACTTTGGAAGGCTGAGGAGGGCGGATCACAAGGTCAGGAGATCGAGACCATCCTGGCTAACAGGGTGAAACTCCATCTCTACTAAAAACACAAAAAATTAGCTGGACGTGGTGGCAGGCACCTGTAGTCCCAGCTACTTGGGAGGCTGAGGCAGGAGAATGGCGTGAACCCGGGAGGCAGAGCTTGCAGTGAGCCGAGATCGTGCCACCGCACCAGCCTGGGTGACAGAGCAAGACTCCATCTTAAAAGCAAACAAACAAACAAAAAAACTACTTATTCAATGCCCTTTTTTTTTCTTCTCCTAAAAATGTTACTAAGATAATATTCCCTGCCATTACTCCCTCATAACACAAATGTGTTGTGGCTATAGGGGAGCCTAGAGTGTGAATATTAGTCTAGTACAAAACTGACCTCGTTACATGTGAATGTGAGTTTTGAGTATGCCAGTAGAAGAAATAATTGATTGACAGTAAACTGAGGGATTAGAAAAAAATAAAATTAAAAAATTAAAAAAGATATCAAAGAAATAATTGAAAGCAAGGAGGCAATAAAGCCAAGTAGAAACCCCTTCATGATATCAATGACTGAGGGTGGCCAAGGAGAGGTTTAAGACTAAGAGAAAAGGATTTGTTTGAAGAAAATAGAAATCACAAAACAGAATATTTCAGTAAGAATGAGGTCAGAGAAGACTTCATAAGCAAGACACTACATGATTAGGAAAACCTGGAAAGAAGTAACAACTCAGAAGGTTTCCATCAAAATGTGAGTCTTTCTGCCCAATGTCTACAACCGGGAGACCAAGGAAATGTTACCACTTATGCATTAAGAGTATCTACTATCAATTACATTAAAGATAATAACGACTAAATTATTCATCTTAGTGCTTAGGTTATGACTAGAAATATTAGTGGAAACTAAAAGTAAAAAAGAACAGCTTATTTTTTTAAAAAGTAGTAAGCTGAGTTAACGAGTCATGGAATCCTGATTTGTCTAATAACCTATCTGTAGATGATTTCCTTCCCTGAGATTAATTACGTTATACATTAAATAATGTTTGCACCCTAACATGGTGACTAATTCTGCCCTAGACTATAGCCGTATCCTAGGAGAAGTAAAGTAAAAGCTGAGATACTGCCCTCTCTCCCCTTTCTTCTCTCCCTGCCTTACCCTGCCTCATCCTATTCCCTTGCTGGTAACAGATTGAGGGATAGAAATAGAAATTATCCCTGAGCAAAAGCTGAGAAACTTTCTGTTTTGCCCACCCAAAACTTATTTTAACACACTTACCAACATCTCCATAAACATACAGGCCCCTGGGAGGTTTGCTCCTTGAAAAAAGCTGCAAATTAAGAACAAATTATAAATCTCTACCATGCAAATAATTAAATATAATCATATACATAGTCTTCCTAACTGTCCTATATACACAACCAAGAGGGACTATTATATACAATAAGTAAGAAAAAACTTGATGTAAAAAATGTATAAAACTGAAATATTATGCAGCCTTAAGGGAAAAAACTCTAACATATACATGAATGAACATTGAGGACATTATGCTAGGTGACATAAACCAGTCACAAAAAGACAAATACTATCACTCCACTTACATGAGGTACTTAGAAGAGCGAAAAATTAAAGAGACAGAAAGTAGAAGTCAGGCGCTGTGGCTCACACCTATCATCTGAGCACTCTGGGAGGCTGAGGTGGGAGGATCACTTGAGCCCAAGAGTTCAAGACCAGCCTGGACAATATAGGGAGACCTCATCTCTGCAAGTAGTTAAAAAGAATTAGCCAGATGTGGTGGCATGTACCTGTGGTCCCAGTTACTCAGGGGACTGAAGTTAGAGGACTGCTTGAACCCAGGAGGTCAAGGCTACAGTGAGCTGTGTTCACACCACTGTACTGCAGCCTGGACAACAGAGCAAGACCCCATCTCAATTAGAAAAAAGTAGAAAAAGGGGTTGCCAGGGGCTGGAGGGAGGAAGGAATGGGGAATGATTGTTTAATGGGTTCAGAGTTTCAGTTTTACAAGATGAAAGGAGTTCTGGAGATAAATGGCAGTGATAGTTGCATGACATTACGAATGTATTTAATACCACTGAACTGTACTCTTAAAACATGAAAAATGGTAAATCCTATGTGTGTATTTACCACAAAAGAAAATTGGAAAAAAATGCTATGAAGCCCCTCTTAGGATTCATTACAGGAGGCAATAACCATAGTAGCCCCCAGCGAGGGGTTCACAGTCACACAACTTGAATGTACATCCCCTCTACCATTTACCATCCATGGAGTCTTTCCCTTCTTTCCCAGATGGGCTCCCCAAACAATAGCAGCTAGGCTCATTCTCAGCAATTAATGAGTACAGTAGAAGAATTTTTCTCAAGAAACTGAATGATCTCCAGACAAAAAGGCCCAAAGGCACTTATGTTGGTTAAGCTTCTCCCAAAGAAAGACCTAGATCCTTACCAGATTACCTTCTGGTAAAGCACACCAGTCACCAAACCTCTCAAGCTGGAGCTTCAATCAGCTTGTTAATACCAATGGTCAATAGATATTTGGAAGAAACTTCCAAGATAAAAGTCAGAGACCAGAACAAATATACAGAGGGGAATAAACTCAGAGGAAACAGAGGACTATCCAGACATATTTAAAAAAAAAAAAAAAAAAAAAAACCTCAAAAATAAAAGTGGGCCGGGCACGGTGGCTCACACCTGTAATCCCAGTACTTTGGGAGGCCAAGGTGGGCACATTGTTTGAGCTCAGGAGTTTGAGACCAGGCTAGGCAACATAGCAAAACCCTATCTCTACAAAAAAAAATACAGAAATCAGCCGGGCATGGTGGCGAACTCCTATAGTCCCAGCTACTTGGGAGGTTGAGGTGGAAGGACTGCTTGAGCCCAGGAGGTGGAGACTGCAGTGAATCAAGATCACACCACGGCACTCCAGGCTGAGCAACAGAATGAGACACTGTCTCACTCAATCACAATCAATCAATAAAAATAAAAGTGAAGTCAATATAATAATATACTGAGGAAAAATAAGAGAAGCTACTAAAACCATATAAAGCATAGTGGGAGAAAGAAATTGTCACTTCAATAAATGATGTTTAGGAGGCTGAGGTGTTAGGATTGCTTGACCCCAGGAGTTTGAGACTAGCCTGGGCAACAAAGCAAGACACCATCTTTACAAAAAAGAGATTGTTTCCATTGCAGAGAAATGATTTCCTACTAATCCATCCAATCTATTCATCAAGTGTGAAAATGGAAAATTGTCCATTCATACATTCAGGGTATGAAAAAACTTCCCACTCACCAAGAAGAAAACATAGGCTCTGGGAAATGTAGAGGGCCCCTGGGAGGGAAAAAAGCTTGTCAGAGGGAGGCTTGCTTCTAGGACCACAGTGGCACTGCAGGTCAGGAAAGCAGTCAGTTCCAGAGCAAAACTGGAAACTGAAGGGCTCTGGAGATGAAGCAAAATGGAACTTCTCTTACCTAATGCTATTATCAACCCAAATAACCATCTTGAATTTTGTTACACTTAGAAGAGTAACCTTCAAACTCTGCAGCAGTTCCTAAACACCTCTGCAAACAACAAGGTATGATAGGGTGGAGTGAGTTCAGAAAGGGAGGGTAAAACAGAAAAAAGTGAAGATTATGCCACTTAGCATCAACCAGAGTAGTCAATAATTTGGCAGAGAACATTCTCAAAACCTAGCTTTCAGGGTTTCATCCATAATGCTTTTGGTTTTGTCTTATTTTATTTTATTTATTTTAGAGACAGGGTCTCACTCTGTCACTCAGGCCTCGAACTCCTGGACTCAAGCAATCCTATTGCCTCAGCCTCCTAAGTAGCTGGGGCAGGCGGACACCACTACATCCAGCTAATTATTATTTTAAAAAAACTCTCCTGTAGGCTGGGTGCAATGGCTCATGCCTGTAATCCTAGCACTTTGGGAGGCCAAGGCAGGCAGACCACTTGAGGTCAGGAGTTCAAGACCAATCTGGCCAACATGGTCAAACCCTGTCTCTTCTGAAAATACAAAAATTAGTTGGGCGTTGTGGTGCATGCCTGTAATCTCAGCTACTTGGGAGGCTGAGGTGGGAGAATCGCTTGAACCAGGAGGCGGAGGTTGCAGTGAGCCGAGATCACACCACTGCACCCAGCCTGGGCAACAGAACAAGACTCCATCTCAAAACACAAGCAAACAAACAAACTATCCTGTAGAGATGGGGTCTCACTATGTTGCTCAGTCTGGTCTTAAACTGCTGCCTAGGCCTCCCAAAGCGCTGGGATTGCAAACATGAGCCACCATACCTGGCCTGCTTTTGTTTTATAATTTATGGGTTCATTCCAACCTGCCTCACAAACCTCTCTTGTTTTCTAGTTCCTTTTTGCTTTCTTTCTCTATTAAATGTAGCTTGTGCCTTCTAGACCTCACTCACAGTCTAGGCCAGACAAAAGGATCTTCTTTGCTTTGACTCTGCCATCTGGATGGCTTCCTAGTATCTCTCTGCATGTTAACTCCCCATCTATTCTTAAATCTCCACTCAAAACAGTTTTCTACTCCTGCCAAAACTTCTTAATTTTTCTTGGTTTTTTTGTTTCTTATATGAACCATTATCATGCACTGGTTATTCTATTTTCAAGTGCCAGAAAAAGCATTATGCTCTTAATTTTAGAACAGCTTCAAATTGGAAAACTTGCATAAAACCTAATAATCTCTAAGTATATTCTATGTATGTGAAATTTTTTGAAAGCAGCATTTTGTATAGGCAACTGAGAGTGTCATAGCAATTCACAATTCTTCACAATACATTTTGTGGGAATAGTTTTAAGGCCTATTCTGATACTGCTACATGATATAATCAAGATAGGGTGAATAAATGAAGTTTAGGGAAAAGAAATGAAGAAAGATGGCGGGGGGGGGGCGGGGGAAGATTGCATGGAGAGAGCTGAATGCTGCTAAAAAAAAAAAAAAAAAAAAAAAAAAGGTTGGCCAGGTGTGGTGGCTCACACCTGTAATCCTAGCAGTTTGGGAGGCCCAGGTGGACGGATCACTTGAGGTCAGTAGTTAAAAACCAGTGGCCAACGTGGTGAAACCCCGTCTCTACTAAAAATACAAAAATTAGCCAGCCATGGTAGCAGGCTACTCAGGAGGCTGAGGCAGGATAATTGCTTGAACCTGGGAGGCAGAGGTTGCAGTGAGCCGAGATCGCACCATTGCACTCCAGCCTGGGCGACACAGCAAGACTCCACCTCAAAAAAATAAAAAATAAAAAGAGAGAAAAATTTGCGCTCATGGTCCTCTCTTCTATTTTTCCCTCTCAACTCAATATATTTTAGAAAGAGCACTTTAGCAAATACCACATTCTATATTACATATATAATCTGTTATGTTGTATTATATTTTATAGTAATATTTAGAAGATGACAAAGAGATACTGCTGTGCCAAAGAAAAGATCCTCAAACATCTAAGATCACAAATACCTCGTATCACATGAATACTGTATAAGATGGAGATTTTAATATAAGCAAATTGATCAACAAAATGGATACCCTCCTAACAAGAATCATTAGACATAGATATAGTCTATCTAAACAATATTATATACTCGACTTATTTTTACTTGGGGAAACAAGCTAATTTCCTCCTCATAAAAATTTCAGTTTTCTAATAATTATTGAAATTATTTTAAGGCACTTAAAAATCTATGTCTTAAGGGAAAAATCAGAGAATCAAATGGAGAAAAGTAAGACTAATCAGAAGGCTATAAAATGGGTCCTAAAGAAGTTTTTGAATTCTTTATTAATAGTAGTGATTTCAGGGAGAGGAAGGTTTACACAGTTTTCTTCTAAATGACTGTCCCTTAGGAACCCACATCATTTGCATGCTCCTAATTTAGATTTCTCAAAACTTAACGCTATTTTTCTGTTCTATTAAATTTCCTTCCTTAAATTTAATTCCCTAAAACTTGTCCTTATGTCTCAGAAATCACAGTGAACTCCACACTTACACTGTTTCTTGGTGCTGGTTATTCTCCATGTGCTCCCCTCCCCTGATGCCTTCTCCCTCCTGTCTGTGCCCCAAGAGACTGACCTTTCTGGCTGGCTCCTGGCTGGTTCAGCCCATGGGAGGCATTCCTTGCAGGAAATAGGAGAGAGGGCACAGAAAGGGATGGGTCATTCTCTCCCATCCCTCCCTGCTTCAGAGATGTGTCTCAGTAGAGCCACATCCCTCCAGACCAACAAACAGCCCATCCCTCAGGCCACAGCTCCAGCTCTCACCAGTCTCCTCCTTTGCCCTTCCATCCCTTGTTTGCTACCTTAAGCCT